GAGGGAAAGAAAGAAAAATATTCAATGATCATTAATTACCAAGTTAATTTAAAAATAAATAGATTGAACTTCTACTGCTCCTCAAGATGAAATAGCAAGAGCCAAATTTTTCCTTCCAATCAAGATAATAAGAAAGCGGGCAGAAAATAGGAAACAAGGGTACCATCCAGCCCAGGACAACAACACCTATCTGCCCCTCAGGAGAGGGGAGTTGCATGGTGTGATGGCTAATCCTGGGTGTCAACTTGGTTGGATCTGGGATTAACTGAAATGAAAGAGATCTTCTTGATTGGATCATCTAAAGCCAGAAGACACACCCTAAATGTGGGTGTTACCTTCTGAGGCTTAGTAATGGTGGGGACTGGTCTTTCCTTGGGAGCCTTTCCTGGACTATGAGACTTTACTTTTTGACTTGACTTGGTGCTTCTTATCTTTTTAACTGAGACAAAATTCACAGAACATAAACATGAACATCTAGTGGCATCTAGTACCTTCGCAGTGCTGCACACAGTGCTGATCCATCACACTTCTCCTTGCCCACAGAAGGCAGTGTGAAGAAGGACATCAAAAGCAAAGATTTCAAGAAAAAAAGTCCAAGCAGGAAAGGTCTGAAGGTATGTGAGGGGCCCAGGAGCTCTGTGCTTCTCTCCACTTGGGTTCTGTCAGCCCCTGCCATCTCTGCTGAGGCCAAACTGGGCCCCCCAAGTGCTGCTCTGACACCTATGTCTGTGGTCTGTGTTACAGAGCAACATGATCCGGGTCATCCCTCCTGAATGCATCCTAATTGACTCAGACTACATCAAGTGTATCCTTTGCTGAACACTTATGAACCCCAGGACTCTGATCTGGCTCTTGTTTGTCCTTGACTCAGACCCAGTTGTTGTGGACCCCTATGAGGAGACCCATGGCAAAGGTGAGAACCTCACACAGGCCCCTGAAAGACAGCCCAAGGCTACCTAGGCTTTGTGCCAAATCAGCCCAGGGGCCCTGGACCCCTGAGTATGAACACAAGCTGACCACAGTGCCATTCTAAATGCTTTGATTCATTAATATGGCCCCCTTTCCCTCTTCCTCCTCCTCCTCCTCTTCCTCCTCCACTCCTCCCCCCACCTCAGCCCTTCTGAGAAGGAAAGAAAGGGCCTTAACATTTCCACCTGTGCTTAAAACTCACTCCTCACTAGGCCATGTCACAGCCAGCGGGCAGAGGGCCCCATCCCTTGTGCCCTGATGAGATAGCCACAGCATGCCTCTTTCCAATTCTCCCTACAGAGATACTGAGCCCTGTCTCTGTGACCCAGGAAATCTTGGAAAAGTTCCGAGACACATTCACGGCACGCTGGATGGGGCATCTGGGGAACTACCACTTTCCAAGGTTGGGATCTGGGTCTCCAGTAACTGACTAGAGAGGCTGGTGCCCTCCTGTGGCACCATTCTCTCTGGCCAAATCTGTCTTGTACAGTCCCAAGCACAGACTGGGCAGGGAATGCTGTTGTAGCCTGCAGGGACACTCACTAGTACAGGCTACGTCCCCAGGTTCACTAAGGTCAGTGACCCCTGAGCTCAGTCCCAACTCACCCAGAGAGGGCACATTGCTGGCATAAGGTCAGGTAGTTCCATGTCACTGGCCCCTGTGAGCATGCATCCTGTCATCCCTGTCCCTTAGTGTAGATGGGCCTAGAGCTGGGGAAGAAGAAGATAAACAGGAGCCAGGTGCTGCAGGGGTGAGCCTGTGCAGGGCTGAGGTGAAGCACGAAGAGCAGAGCTAATGGGGGCAAGACATGGAGGCTGAAGGCTCTACCTAGTCCCCTGTCGCCCATAGTGGGGGTAATGTAGCACTTCCCAGAGCTACCTCCACTGGCTGAGATGCGTGGCTGTTCCTGGACTACAGTTCATTCTCAGAGGAAATCCATCTGAGGCCAGCCGTGAACACTGGGAAAACAAAAATAAGTTGGGCCCCAGAGCAGAATAAAGGGTTATATGCAGGTGGCAGGGGACATTCCCCACTCAACAAACAGATCCGGGACGGGGAGTGTAGATACATGCATCTGGCCCAAGTGTTTGATCATATGCACCTGCTGCCTTTGCCCCATGCAGCCAAGCTGACTGGGAGCAGGTGCTGGACAGTTGCAGAGGCTTCTTCTTCTACGGGATGGAGAGTTTCATGTCCCACCTAGCAGTGGAAAGACTGGTGGCTATGAATCTGCAAGGTGAGCCCCTCATTGCCAGTCTCAGCCAGAGGCTGTGGCACAGGTGAAGTCACAGGGAAGAGAGCAGGGCCACTACCACCTCATCTAGAGCCCAGGACCTGGGATGCTTTAGGAAAGCACAGTGTCCCACATCAGCCTCTCCTCTGGCCTTCTCAAAACAGACTGTGCATTCCAGGGTCCACACAGGGCCACCAGCTGTCCTTGGCTCTGTTACCCTTAGTCCCCTCTTATGTGCAGAGGTCCCTAGTTCAGATTTCTAGACCCCACAGGTAAGGATCAGGTATGGAGTATCACTCTACAGGGCTAGGTGGGTAGATTATCACAGAACCCTTACAGTCTGAATGTCAATGTTTAGGAACCTCATTTTCTTTCTGTCTACTCATACCAAATGCAGGGGGCCAGAGAGCCCCAGAAGGGCTGTGTATAGACAGCCCGGGGACCAAGGACCAGAGGGAAAGCACTGCAAGTGAAAGGTGGCCAGAGGCTCAGAGGGCCAAGGGACTCAGTACCAGGCTATGTGCTAAGTGCAGTGTGTTTGCAAGCACCTCACCATGAGGGTCATGTGGACATGGCACCAATGAGACACAGCACCACTGGCTCAACATTCAAACACGAGGAGGGCATGTGGCAGTGTGCTGGTGTTTGTGGTCCAGAGCCATCTCAGTCACATGGCCACAGATTCTCTGGTGTGCCTGTGTTCCCCAAGGATGCCCTGAGGTAGCCTTGTCCACCAATAGGCAGCTGCTCCTGGTGGGCTGCTCAGGGCCAGCTACCATGCACAGTCAATGAGTGAATTTTTTCAGGATCCCAGAGATGTCCCTTCCTCCCTAACGAGACTTAGGGACTCTTGCTGGGAAATATATCGGGTATTTTGGTGCTCTTCCCATATCAGGGTACCCATGGCCACTTTCTGATCATGTCCACTTCTAACCTCTGGTAAGCTCTGGGCCTGCACCAACCACACATGAGTGGGCTGAGTAGAACCCCACAATCAGAAGCACCCAGAAGCCTAGTTCTGTCCCAACTAGGTAGACAAGGCCTCTTAGAAGGACTAGTTCTCGGTGATTGATATGTTACATAAAGTAGGAAGCACTCAGGTTCAAGGGATGAGCAAAGGTGTCAGTCCTTCCAGCTGTCCACTGTCCCACAAGGCCATGTCCCTATACAGCTGGACATTCTGTCTATGGGAGTAATCCCTGAAGCCTGTCTCAGTCAGGCTTTGGGACAAGAGCAGCCAGCACCTCTGAATTCATGCAGGACCTGTAGACAGTCCAGTCACACCAGGGCCACACTCTGACACCTGTTTTAATGAGCATATCCAGCCAGGGTAGCCCACTCACTCCAAGTATTTGTGACTGTTCCACAGTCCAGAAACCTCCATGTTCCCAGAAGCCTGGAGCACTTGGTCAGCCTTCAAAGCCCTCCAACAGTGCACACCATACCTTTGGTCAGCCCTTCTCTGGGGCCAGTGCCTCATACCCCCCAGGCATGGGCTGAGGTTCTCTTTCTTAGCACCAGTGTAGAATGCCAGAAGCTTCCAGAAATGATGGGGGAGCAGAGCTGCCTATCCTGGGCAGGAGAATTAGAGGAGGCCTCAAGTCAGCTTGCCCCCATTTCCTGCATGTGGTCAGTGGGTCCCTGGAAAGAACCTGTTGATGGAAGCCCAAGCTGAGGCTGATTGGTCAGCATTCAGGCCCCCTCCCCTGTAAGCTCCAGTGCATGGTCTGGGTGGCCACTGAGGGGGGCTCACTGTGACTTACAGAATGCCAGATGATGGTTATGCTGGACTTGATGAGGTCTTCCCAGAGCCAACGGCGGAAGATAGAATCCTCAGAAAACAAGAGGTGCCTAGTGTCCCTACTATGCCATTAGGAGCTGGGGGTGGGGTGGTCTATGAGCAAGTGCTAGGACAGCTCACCCCAGCACCTGCATGGACTACCAAGACTGGCTGGGTGGCACCTGCCATCTCACAGCACTAGCACCCACTTCAGGCTCTGTCCTGAATTCAACAGCGCTCAGGAATTCAACAGTGCTATTTCTTATTAAGTGACATTTGCCATTTGGGATGAGATTCAGAACTATAAAATCCCTGGTCTAAACATGCATTCTAGCAGCTGGAACAGTTTGGGTTATGGGCAGGGACGGGGTGAGTTCATGCAGCAGTTCATGATCCCCACAGTGCATCACAGCGGGCCTTGGAAAAGCCCATCGAGACTGCCATCCTTCTGAGCCTGGTGGGGGTCGGGAGCATTGTGGCCAACCAGTGGCCTACACTACTGCAGGATAACGCACTGTGCGCCAACATCCTTTGGGAAAGTGAGTAGACACCCTGGCCTATTCCAGAGCCTTCCTGGGATATTTTTTCTTTAAAAAAAATTATTTTCATTTTATGTGCATGAGTATTTTACTTGCATGTATGTAAGTGTACCAGAGCACCTGCAGAGACCAGAAGCAGACATCGGGTTACCTGGAACTGCAGTTATAAAAGATCGTTAGCTGCCATATGGGTGCTAGGAACTGAACCCTGGTTCACTGCAAGAGCAGTCAGTGCTCTTAATCACTGATCCATCTCTCCAGCCCTCCTCCTAGACTTTTGCTAGAAGCCTGACAATGGTGTCCACAAGTCATCTGAGGGGCTCTTCTTTCCTAGATCTGTTAGCAATTGGCAAGCCGATTGGGAAAACGGTGCGTCTCATTCAGAGGATAAACAATGAAACGGTTAACCAAGGTAAGGTCAAGAACGCCCACCCCATGCCTATCTGTATCAGTCACCTTTGGGCACATTGCATCCCAAGGCCCTTCAGGGACAGGGTGTCCCCCACTTCTGTACAGAGAAAGAGAAAGCTGTGCTTATGCAGAGGACAATGCTGTCTCCTCAGCCCCTGGGTGAGCAAAAGCTTAACAAGAGCATGAAGGAGCCCAGCCTCTAGAGGGATGGTTGCCATGAGAGACCTGGTGATAAACCCTGAGGGAAGCATGCCAGTCACTGAAACTGCGAGCACTTCCTGCCTCCCCACACATACACAGACAGTCTGACAGCTCAGCTGCATTCTCTGTGAAGAGATGGGGAGATCTTGGTGGTGCCTGTACTTCCCCCTGCCCAAAGCAAGGACTCTGGGGAGTTGGCCACCTAAACTATGCAGCTCATGGGCCCTGTGGAGCCAGCAGATCCTTCCCAGCCAAGACAAGAAACAGCCAGAAAGAGGAACTCCAGACTGAGGTTGTGCCCCCCTGGAGCCATGGGGATCAGCCTGCTTGTGCTTCCTGTCCCTATAAAGTTCCTTCTACCCTCAAGGATAAAGCCTCAGGCAGGGCTACAGGATGTGGCCTATTCTTCCAGACAAGACCAACCCCCACCTACTCATCCTTCAAAGCAAACAAACCCCAGGGCCAAAATGTGCCAGCAGCAGTGAAAGAATCTACAGATAAATTTCACACGTGGTACCAGGGTAAAAAAAAAATCCGATAAAACACTAGCTAATTGCAGTTAGCAATACACTAAACGCACTGTGACTCAGAGAGATTTATCCCAGGAGGATTTAAAATGGAGAAATCTGAAACACATTCAATATAACTCAAAAGGAAATTAACTTTTGAAAAATCATGTGCTCTCTGGTGCCTAGAATGTAGTTGCCAAAAAAGGTAGTTGGATGCATGAATGAATGAGTGGATGAGTAGGTGAATGAATGAATCTGTGAATGAATGAATGGGTAGATGAGTAGATGAGTGAATGAATCTGTGAATGAATGAATGAGTGAATGAATGAATGAGCAGATGAGCAGGTGAATGAATGAATCTGTGAATGAATGAATGAGTAGATGAGTAGATGAGTGAATGAATCTGTGAATGAATGAATGAGTGAATGAATGAATGAGCAGATGAGCAGGTGAATGAATGAATCTGTGAATGAATGAATGAATGAAGAATGAATGAATGAATGAATGAATGAATGGATGGATGGATGAGTGGATGAGTAGGTGAATGAATGAATCTGAATGAATGAATGAGGAGTAAATGAATGAGAGTGAGTTAATGAATACATTTGAGAGTAAATGAGTGAATTAGTGAGCATGTGTGGCCAAGTAAGGGAAGAGAAATCAGACGGGTGGATCAAGGGTGACGTCAAGCATTCTTTCCTAACAAACTAGAAGCAGGACTGAGCTCGGCACCACCCAGCTCCTCCTGCCATGCAGAGTGGCACGCAGGGTGCTTTGCCATGAGTGGAGGAAGGGCCAACCATGTTGACCTGGTGAGCACTGTTGTCAGAGTCTGTCCTCCAGCTGTTGGCACAGGAGAACCTGAGTCTGGGGGCAAGCAGCATGTGTTGGAAGGGAGCAGTGATATTTATACCTATGAATTGTGCTGCCCAGGGCAGGAGCACTGCCAGGCACAGAGGAGGCTATGAAGTCAGTCTCCAGCTCCAAGATGTATCAGGGAATGGGGGAGGGGTACAGGGACTTGGGGTCAGGCCAGACCCTATCCTGGTGCTGTCACTGGCAACCAGGTAGCCAACCGTCCTAGCTTCTTCACCTCAGCAGTGGTGAGGAGCCGGAGGTGGCATGGCACGGTCCCCTGCAGCTAGGAACTCCACCCTGGCCCCTGCTGCTCCCCTCCCTTCTTACTGGTACCCTGACCCTTGGTGAGACAGGATGTCCTGGGGGGACCCTAAGCTGTTGCCAGAGAGCCTTGGGGTTTACAGCTTGTGTCTCATTCCACAGGTGAGGCTCCACAGGCCTCCAAGGATGAGAAGTTCTCTGAGTTGCAACCCTCGAACCTTGAGTCACACCCTACTGCCCTCAGCTTAGTTCTGTATGGACTGCCTCACCAAGCCATTGTGTGAGCTGAAATCACCTTTCCACAGTCTCTGGAGTCTCAGAGTATTCTTGGGGAAGGCACTGTTCTTTGTTTTACTCCTTTGAAATCCTCCCCCTTCAGGCTCTCTCCCACATTCTAGTTCTCTCCCTAGCCTGGACACAGCCTGGCCTCTGTCCTTCTGTCCATGGCACAAGTTCCCAAGAAGACAGTTGCTATCTGGGAGCACCTCTTGTGTCCCTGCGATGTTCTTGCTAGCCCACAAGTTTGTTTTGGCTTCAGTGTTTTAGTAAACAAAAACAATGGTATAGTGTGTTTTTTGGAAGTCTAGGGCGGGAACAGGACTTCTGGCTGTGACCACTAGCACATTCTGGCTCCATCAAAGCTGACAGGGGATGCTGTCTTTGTATGAACTGAGCTCCACCATACTCTCCTTGAAGCTCTGGAGATGTGGGTGGTCCTGTTCCCTGCTCTCTGGCTGCCACATCAGGGCTCTGGGGAAGATACGTCTTGTATATGATCCTTCTGAAATTCAAAACATATGTCTCCTGGCATATCAGTCAGTTGGATGGTCTGTGAGGCTCTGAAGGCCCCTTTCTGCTATGGGCTACAGAACTGAGCTGTGGACCCTCCTTACCCATTCTGGCTCTTTGGCCAGGAAAGGAGGAGGCAAAGGACAATACACGGGGCAGGAGCAATGTTGGTATCAGATGAGTGACCCTTGGGGAAATGGCACCTAAAGCAAGAATGGGGTCTGAGGGGGCACTCCTGACAGCTGGGTGCATCCCCAGAGCCCCAAACCTGATCACCTGCAGCTATGCACCTGTCCGTCCCCACCTCTGCTCGTAGGTTCTGCAGGACAAATGCCAAGACTTCCTGGGTCAGGCCACATGGTCCAAAAATAGTTTTTAAAAAAGCACAAATTAATACCATAATGTAATACCAAGATGGGAGACCATTGTATACCTTATTAAAACAGCTGAGGACAGACATGGTGATGGTACAGACAAACTGTCACACAGCGCTGCTGTGAATACAAGATGTGCCACTAAACTGGAAAAGGTGGTCAGAAAACAAAACGTAAAAAGTCCCCTCAGTCCTAAGAGCACATTAGAAACATCCCGAAGGTCCTTCAGTGAGTGAAGATGGCATTCAAAGCGACACCATCCCGTGTGTCAGCTTCCCTTTGCCAGACAGAGCATGTGAGGTGGTAAACTTAGCAGACTGATTCTCGCTCACAGCCTTGCTCTGAGCCTGTGGCAAGGCAATGTGGTGCGGTAGAGCCTGCAGTGAGCAGAACTGCCTACTTCATAACTAGGGAGCAAAACCAGAGGATGGAGCCAGAGTCCCCCAAAGCTTTTCAAGACAGCACACCCAAAGACCTAAAGACAGCCTCTCACTGGGCCCCATCTCCCAACAGTACCAAGCTTTTGACACACAGGCCTTTGGGAAATACACTGTATCTAAACCATAACATTTACCCTCTATGAAAACAAACAAGCTGTTGATAGAACCACTTGGATGAACCTGAAAGCCCCCCACTCCGAGAGATAGAAGTCAGTATCAAAAGTTATTTTACACAACATTCTCAAATGGCAAAAGCACAGAGATGGACAGATCAGTTCTTCCAGGGCACAGGGGAAGGGCTGGGAACAGCAGGAGGGAGCCTGCTGACAGACCAGTTCTGCCTCTTGACTGTGGTAGCTACAGTTGCCTGTGCAGGAGACAGTATTGCAGAACTGCACCGAAGCAGAAGCAGCCACGACCAGCTCACCAACACCTGGAACCCAAATCACTGTCTTGATTTTGTGGTTCACAATAGTTATGCAAAATGTCACCACTGAGGAAGGTGGGAGAGGGGCTGCAATGTTCCTTGTAGAGTTGAGCCCCATTAGTGGGGGAAGGGGGCTTTGTTGTCCTATGATACCAGAATCAATTTCCCCCAAGCCCACCCTCATTTTTATGCCTTGGAAAAACTTATGTGTCACAGTTCTGTGCATCGTTGCACTAGCTAGTAAAATGAGGGTCATGAGACCACAGCCCAGAGAGTCCATGACAGTGAATCTGCTGCCTGATACTGTGTCCTGAGTCTGGCAGGCAGGGAGCATCCACCTCAGCAGGACAATGCAGTATCTCCACAGAGCTCAGATCGGTGTACAATTTATGAGCTACTGACTTCTGGAATTTTCCTTTTCATGTTTTCCAACCTTGGTTGAGCCTGGGTCCCCGAGACTACTTAGAGTGCAAATGTGGACAAGGGGACGGCACACTATTTCTGTGACTTCGATGAATCGACACTTAATCTGACATAGAAATACATTAAATGCGCATCTTTGATGATGCCGAAAGAGTTATGTATGACTCTTCTCATTTTTGTTTGATTTTCTTTCCTTTTTAAAGCATATATGCATAATTGTTCTGGTGTTTAAAAAAAACAAAGTTAACTAATGGCCAAGGGATAAATTCCAATCTGAGCAGCACTGGAAATATGAGCTTTCTTCTACAAAGACGTTGGCACTCACCCAAACAACAAGAATAAAAGCTTCTGGGAATATTTCATCTGCAGCATCACATTCTTCACCTCAGGCCGTCTCTGCTCCTGTGAGAAATATTAGAGTGAGTGCTATTCCATGCATCAAAGGCTTTAAAATAACTTTCTGAATTATGTCCCGGCAACATAACAAATCACATTATCAATTAGCTTCTACGGCAGACGTGGCATTCTGTAATATATTCAAGTATGAAAAAATACCATAGGTGAAATTTATGTAACCCTAAAAACTATGAGGAGAAAAAAAGATTGCTTGGGATTTATTAGTCATAATGGGAGACAGGATGTAATTCTAGCAGTGGATGGCCCCCAAGGAAGGTGCCCAGCTCCAGCTCTGAAGGTTCGGGGGACACAGGCAATAGACAAGTCAGGTGGGCAAGGCACACCAGGCAAAAGGGAGATGGCTGCTGCCCACATCCACCCTGGACTTCCTTGATGTCAGGTGAGCGTGTGCATGGGTAGGTGAGGTGGGGATGGGGTCACCTGCAGGTTGGCATCACCTCTGAACAAACACAGTGAAGAGAGGAGCCATGCTGGATGGTCTTCCCTTGACCTTGAGCGGGTCACTCAACAGCCCTACCTTCTCTGGGAAATGCCCAGTGGGAGCAGGAGCCAGCAGCTCCCTGTCCAGGACTGGAAAGGAGCAGGGGCCAAGGGCAGGACTCCATCCAGCTCTTTGACCTGGTGGAAGGTGCATGCCTCACAGCCCATAGTCCATGACCTACGAGGGATGCTCTGCAAGTGTCTACATCAGGCTGACCATCTCTACTCTTGATGGTAGGTTAGCTTCTTAAAACATCCCTCCATTTTCTTAATTCATGTGGTGAAATTTTTCATATTTTTAAAATAAGAATTTTAAAAATATTTTATCATTTTTATTTCACGTGTATGAGTGTATTGTCTGCATGTAAGTAGTATACCCATATCATGCAATACCTGTGGAAACAGCTGAGCCATCTCTCCAGCCCCTAAAATAAAAACTTTTGTTAGCAACGTTTTATCAAAGGAAATGTGAAAAATACCCCAAAATGGGGATAAAGCAAAATAAACCACCTCTGATAGTTCGTACTAAGCTATCCGAAGGCCACACAGGCATGTGTCCCCTTGGCATTGTCTTTCTTCCCCTGGGTCCTCACTTTAAGAGCTGAAGAAGATCCCATCTTGCAGTTTTTAATCAAAATCCTGCTTAAAGTATTCCTTCCTTCAGGGCTGGAGAGCTGGCTCAGCGGTTAAGAGCACTGGCTGCTCTTGCAGAGGACCCGGTTTTGGTTCCCAGCACTCACATGGCAGCCAACAACCATCTGTACCTCCAGTTCCAGGGGATCTGACGCCCTCTTCTGACCTCCGTGTGCATTGCAGGACATGAGTGCACTCGTGCACATGCAGGCAGAACACTCATACACATAAAAATAATTTTAAAATAAAAAAAAAAAATTCCTTCCTCAAACTGTCAGCAGCCAAAGCTGGGAATGAGCACAAGGTCCCTGGCATAGCCCCGCCTCCAGTGTTCCCTGCAAGCCTTACCTAAGAGAGGCTGGGGCCCAGTGCCAAGGATCTTCTGTACACGGAGTCTGGGTCTGTCGGGCGGGCCACAGAAAAGAGGAAACAAAGGGGCCATGGCGGGGGCATAGTCAAGTGGGCTAAAACCCTAGGTTGGAACACAAGTAGCATAACACGTGTCCATGCCAACCCAGCCCAGGAGCCAAGCTTTTCAAGGTCAGGCCCTACTCAGCCTGGTAGCCACTCAGGGGTTGTACCTGTTCCTGTAGGTCTCCAACCTGAGGTCCACACGCTGCACCAGAACTTCCTGTTCATTTTTTCCTGAAGTCTTGCAGAACAACGTTCCTGGGGGTCCTGGGGGTCCTTCTGCTCCGTGGTGGCACCAGGCAGGGGCTCTGCCTCCCTGCTCTCCTGTTGCCTGCCCAACCTCAGACCACCACCTCTGCCAACAGGAGGCCATGGCCTCTCTTGCCCAGGTCTGGTTCCCTCAGGGCCACCTGCAGCTACACATAGGACCCACCTGCTGGAACTTTCTGAGTGCCCCAATTTTGGCTCTGGAATTCCCAAGTGAGATTCCTGTCTCCCTGGTGGCCACAGTGCCTGTCCACTTGGCTTCCCTAGGAAAGTAAGTCCACATCCCAGCAACTACCCTGCCCTGTCTGCCCCACCCCACCTCTTCTTGTGGTCTAAGCAGTGAAGTCATAGCCACAGCTAAGGTAGCCTCAGGCTGATCTGGATTAAGGAATTAGGCAGGTTAATAAAACTAAAATGTTCATAGACACTTGTATATAAATTTCTATTAAGCTGCCTTGTCCAGCATGGGGTCCATAATAGTTTAATTTCTGTATTAAATAATTAAAACCCTATTTTCAATTGCTGTGAACAATTGTTTTCCTTAATGATCTTCCTAGAGGAGCCTGTAATTTTATATCTTGTAAAAATGATTAAATGGCATCATTATCCCATATCTCTGAAATATAACTCAGGAACTCCAAGAAAGGCCATTTGTATTCAATTAATGCTCCCTTGCATTAAGACGCACAATATTACTTCATGTCGCACATAACCCGGCTGTCCTTTCTTTTTATTATGACGATGATGAAGAGAGAAACAACCGGTTTAATTATCCCATTTCCAACAGAGAAATCAATTTCACTACGTCTTCACCCCTTACAAAAGAGGCCACCTGGTCCCTGGGAAGGGCAGGGCAGATGGCTGCATACAGGCAGCTGCTGTAAGCCTGGTACTGGATGGGGGCCACAGACATAGGTAGTCGAGTCCAGTGGAGATGAGCAAAGCAGATCCCATGCTGCCCTCCTCTGTGACCTTGGATACTGCCCCTTTTTGTGATCAAGATTAGAGGTCTTTTGGTAGCAGCATTCCAGGGACCCCAGACCCTCTTCCACCTGTACACTTCGGGCCCCACAGCCTCCAGGGTAGGGCTCTGAGGGACCCCAGGGCCATGGGCTTCCAAAGGGAGACATCCCCACTCATTCACTCATTGAAGTGGATACCAACCTCCAGGTCACCCCACAACACTGCTTCTCAGATTCCCTTCCAATGTCCTGTGGGGGTTTGCCGACACATAGAACCTGGCTGCCTTGGTCAGGGTGATTCAAGGGACGTGCCCTACCTTGCTGTTCAATCATGCCAGCACTGTGGCTGGTGTAATCTAATTGTCTGACATTTTTATCACAATTTGTAGAGGCCAGAGCAATGACTAGATTAATACCCCAGTGTTGTCAGCTAATGGCTGAGAGAGAGCCAATGGCCAAATTACAGGGAGTTCTTAAGTGTCCTTATTACAGATTTTAATCTTTGTGACAAGAGGTGAGAGATAGTGTTGCCATGACGAGGAAAAAGCAGCCTCTCGGCCTGGGGTCCCACATCCCAGCTCTTTGCCCTGAGCCAGCCCTGGCTAGTGGGCTGGAAGGATGAGTGATCTGAGCAGCCAAGCAGAAACCAGGGATGACCCTGCCTGAGCCCTGTATTCTGAACCCATAGTGGAGCCAGCTGGGGCCACCTGTGAGTCTGACCCAGCAGAAGGCTGCCTAAGGAAGGTGGGGTGTGTGGCCATTTTAGATGGCCTTTCTTTAGGACTTTTCCTGAGGCGCCCCATCCCTGAATGCTCTGCTCACTTTGGTGAGCTTGGAGACCCCAGCCCATAAACCCTGATGACTGAGAGCTTGCAGAGGGGCAGCCCAGCCCCTGGCACCTAGATATCCACCCTCCATCTAGTCTGGTATCTCTGTAGAACTGGGTGTTCCCGCTGGGCTGTGAGACCCTCCAACCCAGCCTGTGCGATAGGGACAGAGCCAAGGCAGCTCAGGGCCCCTGGGCTATATTTGGCCCTGCAGATTGCAGGAACCAATGGGACTCAGAAAGAAGAGTCCTCAGCACCAGGCCTCCTCGTGTGTGGCAAGTGCATGTCCATTCTGTACAAAGACCCTGTATTCCCCAGTCTGCCTGACACCAGATATGACCAAAGCCAAAGCCTTCTCTTCCTTTCTATAGGCTGGGGTGGAGCCAGACGGCTGGCCCTTGGCAGCTCTCTCATATGATGAAGCCACATGAAGAGGACGATAGAGTGCCATGAGGAGCCCGGGTCCCTGGGGCCTTAGGATCAGCAGCCCTTCCTGAGCAGCTCCACTTGGGATGTGAGAGTGACAGCATTCCTCTTTGCTTGTCGCTCACCAGAACCCTGAAGGCCCCAGGGACAATCGTGGGGCCTCGCCTTGTACTCCATGCTTGTCTAGCCCCAAAGTCACTTCGGAGGAGAACAGAGAGATGTGGAAGGAGCCAGACTGGGATGTGGAGAAGGCCCAGGGTCAGGGAAATGGGGGGTCTGCTCCTGTGTTCTGCTCTATCAGCTACACGGTTCCCTCTACCCATGCATGGTGGAAAACCAGGAGAGATGCTGAGTGTAAGAGCAGACAGGGAGAAGACCTCAATCCCCAAGAAGTCCACCTGGGACCTCAGAGTCCCCAGCCTAGGCCCTTCATCCTGAGGGGGCAGTTGGGACCCCTCCCCTCTCCCCTCAGGCCTGGCTCTTGGGTTCTCTGTGAATTGAAGAGTTCCCACTCTATAAGCCCTTGTCATCATCCCTCCAGAAGATGGCCTGGGAGTGGGCAGAGGGGTGCCTCCAGCAACACGGTTTATTCACTGTGACACAGAACAGGGTCTGAGTAAGTTCTAGGGGCCTGTTTTCTATGGAGGTGGTCAGGGTAATGGACCAGGCAGACCTCTCTAGGCATTGAGTTTCAAGGCCTTTAGCAAAGGGCTGTGAAATGAGGAACATGAGGAAGGCGTGAACGAAGTGCTTGGTGACATTCCTTCTGTGCTGACCCTGCGTGGGTTTGCACCAGAAGGCAATGGGAAAATACATACTCAGAGAAGCTTGAACTGAGAAGAAACAGGTCAGTTGCATACATTTGGTGGACAGCCTTTGGCTCCTTGAAGAC